AGTAGTAGTAGTAGTAGTAGTAGTAGTAGTAGTAGTAGTAGTAGTAGTAGTAGCATCAGCAACGGCAGTAGCAACTGCAACAGGAGCAGCAGTAGCTGCAGAAGCAGTAATTATCGATGTAAACAATCAAATAGATGTTCATTCCGGTTCAGTTCAGCTGTAATCTGGATGAGATCGGCGACGATTCTCAAACTCAAAGTGATAACATTTAGAAAAAGACCGTGGTTGAAAGACGAAAACTGTCTTCTTCTGCCTGTTTTTGTGATATCAAATATTCCCCACTTAGCCTGGTGTATAGACACCACGGGACCTTTAAATAGTTTCCCAGCTGTTAAGAAGAATTTAATGTAAGATTAAATATAATGTTAGGATAATATGGTAATGTCCTTTCATCTGGAATGTTTGGGGGCTTTTTTCCTTCTCCAGAACGAGTATTTGGCTGGGCTTGGTTACTCTGACATCCGCTATATCCAGGAGGAAGGTCCCAAGGAAAATCTGACTTACCTGGTCAGATTCTATGCTGGTGAGTCATAGGCTTTTAACGAGTACAATGAAATGGTATAGAAGTCTACATTTATATAGCGCATTTCAACTAGAACAGAGATTACAATGAGCTCCCCCCCTTCTCTCTCTCTCTCTCTCTCTCTCTCTCTCTCTCTCTCTCTCGCTCTCTCTCTCTCTCTCTTCAGCGTGAATATCACCGATCTTACTCTTAGGTTTACTTTTTGAAAATTTCACTACCGGTATTTAGAAACTGAATTTAATTAAATATTTTACAATTGTAACCAGTACGGATGGCTATAAAAAAAAATAATAAAAAAAAACCCACAAAAAAATAGATGTGACCTAATTTTGGGATTAACACCTTTCATAGGATGTCGCCAAAATGCTCCATGTCGAAATAATGTGGCTTAAGCTATTTAATAAGCGTAAATGTAACGACCGGTGGGCTTATGACGTGATATGTTATGCATTTTCCAACATTTAGAGCTCGAATTTTAACAAATTTTTTCTCGAGCTCACTCAACCTCTATTACAGACTGAGAAACTGCAATCAAAAAAGGTTTTCCTAAACTTGGGGCTAAAACCTATGAACAATTTGCCGACGACATATAGGCCTAATCGTATTATTATTTAATGATAGTATAATGCATTGGGCGCGCAGGCACACACAAACACAC